TGAAGAAATTGTCTACAGACCTTGCTGGATCAATACCAGATTCTGTGTACTGTTTAAAATCAACTCTAGCCTGCTCCGTTACTCCAATAACTTGATATGGAAGCAAGTGTAAAGTGTAAATAAAAACAAGTACAACAGCCCCAGATTAACTGACCTGCAGTCAGTCCTACACTTAGTGCCTGGGTTTCACTGATACTGTAACCCGGGAGAAAGAGGAAAGGCAACCTCTCCTGCTAGCCTTGTCTGATCCCTTTGCAATGGCAACCACAGCCTGTAATAGGTCAAATGGCTCCTATAGATGCCCAAGTGCCAGTCTCAATCACCCTCTCTGACCCTTGAGTCAGACCAGACCTTCTCTAGTTGGTTCAGATCTTAGGCAGAACACTCCAAAAATATTTTTGGGCTTCAAAGATTGTTTCCCTTGTCTCCAAATCTTTTCCCAACCAGGTGACAACACACAGAGATGATCAGCAACTCATCTCTCTATACACCATGTTGATCCTAGAGTGTATGGATCCAAGAGAGAAGAAAGAGAGTGGAACTACTCTGCTACCAAGAAAAGGACAACAGCAAAAATCTTGAAGATTGATTAAGATATGGTAGTAGAAAAGAGAAGAAAAGAAAGAACAGTAGAAGAATTTTGGGGAAGAAGTGTTAATAAGATGAACAGTAGGGAGCCTAACTCCAGATTTCAGGGTTGCCAAAGAATGAATTAAACCCCCACCCCCAAAGAGCCTTTATAATATTATGAATATTTACAAGAAAGCCCGTATGAGCTTAAAGAATTTACAAGAAATCCCTTATGGTCCAAAAGGATTACTAGAAAGCCCTTACAGGGCTAATAAAGAAAAAAAAAATAAAGTAATAAAAGATACAATATAGCAAGGGCTAGCAGAATACATCAATATTCTCCACACTCCCTCTCAAACTAATGCAGGAGACATAAGCATCGGTTTGCTCATAAGAAATAGATGTCTTGCCCTCATCGTGGCTTTGGTAAAAATGTCAGCAATTTGCATATCTGAGGCCACATGAGGAAGAGAAAAAGACCTAGCAAGAAACATGTCTCTAATAAAGTGACAATTCACCTCAATATGTTTAGTCTTCTCATGAAAAACAGGATTTGAGGTAATCTTGATAGCACTGGTGTTGTCAGCATAAAGAGGAATTGGAGTAGGAAGATGAACACCAAGATCATCAAAGAGGAATTGTACCCAAGCAATCTCACTATAGACAAATGACATAGCTCTATACTCTACTTTTGTAGAGGACTTGGAGACTGTTGTTTCTTGCATTTCCAAGAAATGAGGGAATCACCCATGAAGACGCACCACCCTGTAGTAGAGCGTATAGTGTCAAAACAACCTGCCCAATCAGCATCAACTTAGGCCCTCAACTAAATAGGAGAGGAGGAAAAGAATAGGCCCTAGGATAATGTACCATGAACATATCGAATAATCCAATGAACAACAATCAAATGGGACTGATGAGGGATAGAAACAAACCGACTCACAACCTAAACCACATGGGAGATGTTAAGACGAGTCATAGTAAGATATGAAGATCTCTCTTCTTCTCTAGATCAATAAAAACCATATGAAGATCTCTCTTCTTCTCTCTGAACTTTTCTATCAATTGTCTTAATAGAAAGATGGCTCCCATGGTTGATCTCCTTGGCATAAACCCAAATTGGTTTTCTGAAATATTTGTTTCATGTTGTAACTTATGATCAATTGTTCTCTCCAAAAGTTTCAGTGTGGCTGATGAGTTAAATTCCACGATATATTTTTTTTTTGATGAATGATAATAAATTTATTAATTCAGAAGCAGATTTAGAGTGAGTTTATACAACATCCCAGGGAGAGGCGCGAGCTGCAGCCCCTCCTTGAATCTTACAAGTAAACTAGGAAAGAAAAGCAAGAATCACAACTGAGCCCAAAACAATTCTTCCCTATTTACCCCTT